CAATGATGCAGAAATTATTACAGAGAATTTCAAGCAAGGTTCAACATTAAGCTCAAAAGATCCTGTAATAATATCTGCTTCATTACATCTACGCCACTCTTTATCATAAACGGGTTCCTTTCGTTTGTTTGAAGTTTTGTCTTTAAACTTTTATGATAAACAAGGACGGATCTGCTACATTTAGCCCCTGGCTGGATTGACCCTGTATTATATGCTGATATTCTCATCCAAAAAATAATTATTTTTGTACAAAAGATTTAAAACATAAATAAATAAAAAAAGATCCAAAGTATGTGTCCAAACAAGCAACCTGTAGAGCACTTCAGTAGAGTGTTTTGAAAATGGCAGTGAAGGGAGAGAATCGCATATTAAGAAACAAAGTGTACAGCAAAGTGCAACAATGATCAAAATGTGCCAAACTTTCACCTACTGTATTATTTATAGCAACACAATTTCTACCCTAACCTACTTTTTCAAATCTAAATATACAAAGAAGTCAAAGATATGTTCTGTGTTTGCTCTTTTCAACGAGAAAACATCAAAACACTACCGAAGTGTTGAGATAAGCTACATATATCTTAGGTGGAGGTAGAAAGACATATATTACATGTGTACCGTATGAAACATAATTATATCCATATCATAAAAGTGAAAAACTAATTCAGTATTATTTTCCCTTGTTAAGACTGAATGATGACCTAATGTGGAGAAACACAAGTCTGAATATATATTTACATATTTCACAAAAAAACTTTTTAGATATGTGCAAAAAATTGTAAAAAGTGAAGCACTTTTTGTGTGTGTGTGTGTGTGTGTGTCTGGTGTGAACTGTGTGGCAGTGTGAATTTGCTCCAGTGTGGTTGAATTTGGCACAGCGTGTCCATAAGTTTCATATCCAGTGTGCATATGCTGAGACGAGGTGGATTTTGCTCAAATGACGGTGCTGAAGGTGTTGTCTCAAGCGGTCTGTTTCAGAGCCCAACACCTCCTGCTTTTCCTGTCTCTCTCTTTCTTTTTGCCTGTCAAATTCTCTTTCTCTCTCCACTTTGTGTGTGTGTGTGTGTGTGTGTGTGTGTGTGTGTGTGTGTGTGTGTGTGTGTGTGTGTGTTGGTCTAGTGTGAACTGTGTGGCAGTGTGAATTTGTTCCAGTGTGTGGTTGAATCTGGCACAGTGTGTTCATGAAAGTTTCATATCCAGCGTGCATATGCTGAAATGGGGTGGATTTTGCTCAAATGACGGTGCTGAAGATGTTGTCTCAAGCGGTCTGTTTCAGAGCCCACCGCCTCCTGCTTTTCCAGTCTCTCTCTCTCTCTCTCTCTCTCTTTCTTTCTGCCAGTCAAATTCTCTTTCTCTCTCCACGTTCACACCACAGTGCTCACAGAGGGGTCTGACAGGTTGAGCTGGCCGGTAATGTCCGTAGGATATGGCTATAGATGAGGAAGAAACAGAAAAAGGAAAAGTAAGAACATATATATTTGCATAATCCTACATATGCACTGTACCTCCTGTGACCGGTATTTAGTTCACGTTGTAATGACGGAGGCGATCTCTCCACCCACTGCAAGCCATGTTTATCTGTCATCTAGAATAATTTGGCTGCGTTTTAAAAACAGACAGTCTTCTTTGGACTGTCGCAAGATAAATAGAGTGAACAAGGTCACGGATTTTGGTCACGGCACAATTGCTTCCTTAAATACAGTCCTAAATGAATATGCTTCCTTAAACGGGTACCATATATCACACGCAAAAATGTCTGCACAAGAAACCTGTAATGGCACAAACGAGAGTGCGCTGTCTCCCGGCCCATGGCTAATAATTTACCTGACCCAGAAGTGTTGTTGCCATAGTAACTGTTCTAATGCAATATGACAGTCGGTCCTGATATGCAGCACAAGGTGCAGTTCATTCCAGTTCGACACAGGTTTCACCCTCAATAGCTCTCAATTTCTCAGTGATTCTATAGTGTTATTATACTGAATGTTTTTTTTTATTGTTATACTCTCCACATAAGAAAATATTATACTCATCCATATTGTCATTCCAACCCTGGATGATTTTCTTTCTTCTGTGGAATACGAAAGAAGATATTTTGAAGAATGTCCCAGTGTCTTTTTTTTTGTTTTGTTTTTGTCCATGCAGTGAAAGTCAATTGGGTGTTGTTTTGGACCCAGCTGACTTTCAATGAATGGGAAAAAATATTGTTCAAAATATCTAAGTGTGTGTTCGGCAGAAGAAATAAAATCATACAGGTTATGTAAAGTAAAGGTAACTGAGGCTGAGTAAATGATAACAAATTTTTTTTCATTTTTGGGTGAACTGTCCCTTTAATTCACTACAACTATCTAAAATCACATTTACAGGATATAGTTTTAAATATATATCAAAAGAAGTGGCTTTAGTGGGTGTTGTGATACCCTCACTCATAACAACGTTCTCTATGGTGTTCCAAGTCAATTCTGAGTCATAACCACAGCTCCCCCTGTCTACAAACGGGAAAAGCTTTAGAGCTCTATTCTACAACAACCAGAAGAAGTGTCATGCCGGTAGAGGAAGAGAGAGGCAGTGTGGCATGTGGTGTGGACACCGACAATCAAAACGCCATTCAAATCCATTTATAAAAAACACTGATAGAAAAGAAAAGGATGATTAGGACTGTGATGGGTAAACATCAGTTCAAAAAGACACTGTTTAGCGAATAGACTTTGTATGTTTAATCTGCTTCTATTCTGCCTTCATCTTTGGAAAATGTATTTTAAAATCATATCAGGTTTTAATAACACATTTTGCACCCGCACCTCTGTAAATGATTTAAACCATCTTACTGAGGGAGAACCCAACTGAAATGTGAGCTACATGGATTTGGATATTTCTTCGCAAACCATCAACCAAACGAGCTGCCAATCAGAATAATTTTTCAAGTTGAGGGTGTATGAAACAAAACCCCAGGTCAATCATTGCCATACCCAGAAAATGCCTAGCGAGTAATTGAATAAGAATTCACTCTAAACCAATTAAAGTAATGCAATGAAATAGTCTGTGTTTGTGCTTGCACATTAGTTTGTATTGAATCCTCAGAGCCGGTAGCTGTTTGGTTTGAGAGCTACATCTTATTAAACCTGTGGGACCGAAGAAACACAGTGAGGAGGCGCTTGTGTGAATGAACTCATTTGAGAATCTAGCTCTGAGAGTTCAATACATTGTAAACGTAAACCCATCTGAGCAGTGTTTCCTGAAAATGAAAAGTAGTTTTTTTTATTATTATTATTAATAGAACTGCAAAGAAAACATTGGATGGTTAAAAATAACACAGAGATCTTGGTAGTGCAGGCCTGCCAGGGAAAAAGCCCAGGTTATTTTAGCGTCACTCGTCTTTGGGTGTTAACGGCGATACCGTACATCGCGGGAGGCATACAGGGTGACTTTGTGACAGCAACCACAAAAAAATGGGACAATAAAAGGAGGATGAGGTACATGGAAATAATTGTTACAGGACCGAGCGGTGAGAGGAGAGACACACGAGTACACATAAAGGAAGGATAAAAGAAAAAAGCATAAAGTAAAGTCACATCCAGGTTAGGCGTGGAAGAAAGACCAGCACAGGCGCTAAGAAGGAGAAGCTACCTCGCCCCCTCCTGCAAGGGCAAACCCACAAGCCCCCCCAAAAATCTGCTCCTCGGTTCCCTCGCCACACTTTCCCTGGCAGCTAGATCCCTGATTGGGCTTTCCCAAAAGATGTCTGGATGGAGTATAGATGGCTGACTGACAGACATGTGGCCATGACTGTAACTCCATGTGTGAGGGTGAAGAGAGTCTGAGATGAGACGTTTGTTTTGGAGAGGAGAGATGAGATGACAGGAGAAAGGAAGAAAGTGAAAGAAACAGTGCAGGCCAAGGTGGAGGAGGAGGAAGAGAAAGAGGAAGAGAGCGAGAAGATAGTAGTACAGGCAGGGCGTCATTTTCTTAATCTTCTTACCGTGTCTTTGGACGACCTACGTCTCTTGATGTTGGAGACCAGGTTGGTACTGATGGACCTAAAAGAGGCTTTCTTTTTGGGGTCGGGCTCTGCTCTACACAATTATTCGTGCTCTCTGGAAGAGCGTGTTTGGTTTCTAACCATCACCACCCACCTCGACTACTAAAGCTATTGAATGGTACTACCCTGCTAATTTTAGTGCTTATCACAATTAACATGGCGTCTCCTGTCCACTCTCCATCTCGGCTGTGAGTCAGAATGGTGCTTTCACGCACCCACATCGCTCTACAAGGAAAGAGCACACTAGCATAGACTGGGTGCGAATGTGTACATAAAGTCTTACTTCGACTCTTTTACAATCCTGACACTCTAGAGAGGGGAGGAGGAGGACTGCTGTGGATCGTGTGATCAGACCCCACTCATCCACAGTTCTGCAACTCCGTAAATGGAAAGCCAAAGCATTAGCAAAGGAAAAAAGCAAAATGAACGCAATCGGATGGGGAAAAAAACAGGCTCCATTTTTAAAGTGAGAAGATGTTCTTGTGTGAACAAGGAAAATGAACAACTCATCAATAAACAGTCGAAACTTAACACAGTTCCTTAGCATTATACCCTGGTGAAGGTATAATGGGCGTATGAAGGAAGGAGGAAGGGATGTGCGGGCTCATAAGAGGAGACGAGAGTGTTGGGAAGGGGGTTGGTGAATTCAACCAGAAGACATGCAGTACATGGAACCAAAAAGGGAATGCAAAATGAATGACATGACAGTTGACCTTGGCTGGCACCGTCACTCCCTCATTGACTAGCACATTTGGACCATTTGTCTTATCTCCTACAGTGAGCGACTCAAAATGTGACCATCTGCAACTGCACTTTACTTTACAGCAATGTATGAATGGTATTCATACAACTTATTTTATGATTTTATGATATTTTACAACTTGAACTTGCCTTGTCAAAAAAAAGGTCAAATGATCTGATATTTAAGAGACTTGCTTATCATGAAACAGTCTGAATGTTGGTTGGATCACATGACTTGGACAAACCCTTTTGAATATAAATAATCAGAAGCAGTTAAAAAAAAAGCATATTTTAGAAAAAAAAAAAATCTAAAATTAATAATAGACAATTAGGCAAAATTATTTAAGGTCTTCTTTAATAACTGTTCTCCAAAAATGGACTTTAATCCAAAGTCATCCAAAATGCAAAATGTAAGATATTTGAAATTCTTTCAGCATTTGTGAATCATTAGGCACTGTCTGTCTCTTTCAAACAACATCGCAAAAGAAACAAGACACAAAAAATGCCCACATTACGATTTTCATCTGTTTTCACATAATGCATTCTGGTTTCTCCAGAAAAGGTGACCGTACGAGCTCTTTTAACCGTCAGTGCTTTCATTCATTGCATTTCAAAGCCCTGTGATGAGGTAGTGCCTCTGGAGTGGGCAGCTAGCCCATATCACATTGGCTCCTGATCTGCTCCTGGCTCACTCTGGTTTGAAATGCAAATGCATCCAGGGCAGATCTGTCTGTTCATGCATTCGGGAAGCAGTTGTGTATACAGCTTTTGCATACATTGCATGTGCACCTAGAATAAGCGTGCCGGGTTTTGTGTGGAATAATTGATTTTAGCTTTCAGGGAGGAATTATTCATTGGCACACTTGGTCGCAATTAGCGTTGGTTAAACATCCATATTTGCCCGTTCTGATGGGGATTACATGGAGGCTCATTTGCAATTAAATTATATAAGCATTATTTTTCTTTTATTCGATAAACAGTGGGAGGAAAATCCATAAAAAATACCTCGTCCATGGTGAAATATAATTTTTTTTTTTCATCTCAAATTATGAGCCTTCAACGATGCTGGACCTCTGACTTGAAGTGGGCAGCACATGTGGGCGTATTATCCATGCAGCATTGTCTTGTGACTCAAGTAGGCGGTAAAGCCTGAAGGTTAAAACGCTTAACTCTCTATAACATGACTCTCTGATGTGTGAAGTCAATCAGATAGCTGTCGGCTTTGATACCGCACTGACAATTGATCCATTAGTTAGATTTAGTCGGTTTTGCCTCGTGGTGAAATATGTGCCTGCTGATAATGGGTTTAAAGTAACAAGGCCACGCTTAGCGACTTGCTTCCCATTAGGAAAAGTAATCTCGCTCCAACAACGCACTAACTTTCACAGAAGTTCAGAGCTGTAGTCATGAGTTGTGTAAGCCAGCCAGGTCTCAAGTCTCAAATGGGCTGACCTTGTTACTTTCCGCCAACATCCAGACATCATGTTGGCCTGTGACCCATTGTGTATGGATACAGCTGGAAGCCAGCAGCGGACAGACACTGATCTGTATAGGGCGCGAGGACGCTTTGATCCCCGCTAGAGCCCAGCAGGGACATTCAGCCGGCCTGCTCAGCATGCATCTTCCTGACTCCACAGCAGCATCACAGGCTCCTTTAATGTGTGTGTGTGTGTGTGTGTGTATTTGTCAAGCTGCTCAATAAAAGCAATGCCACTGGCAGTAGTGAGGCTGCAGGAGCTGCTTTATCTTGCTGCGCAGTTTGATTGGATGGTAAGAGATGTGTCTTGCATGGATCTGCAGACAACTACTCTTATTATTATTATAAAGGAATTATTTTGGACACTTGTGTGCTGTTGCATGGGCAAATGTCCAAATTTATGCATAGGCCTGTTATCTTTTTTACCTTGAGGCATTTTTGTACTACTATGAGGTTATATTCGTTTAGTAGATATTCACAATCACACTGTATTATACGCAGAGCATAACTGTGAATTATACTTGGCTTTCTTTGAGTATTTATGCTTTATTAGTATGATCTAAAGCAGGATTTTTTTAATCTTTTGCTGCCAAAGACCTTTTTATACTATGTGAGAAAATTATTATGCATACTGTTTTAAAGACAACATGTTGTTTCCTAAAATAAATGATTGGCTTTTATATTGCCCTTGTACTACAGCCAAAGCAAATTACAAAAATATTATCTGGAAAATATTTACTTTGTGTTAATTTCACTTGACATTGTTAATCTTCGGTTTTTGGCAATTACTAAACAAATTTTAGAAAAGGTTTCTCTTCATGTTTATAAATCTAAAATTACATTAATAGTAGAAAGAAAAAAACACCCTGTAACATAATACAAAAAAATATTGTCCAGATCTAATTACATCTTTGGCTGTAATAAAATGACAATATAAAAATAAATTATTACATTTTTTTAAACAACATGTAGTCTTAAAAATATCCCACTTGTCATGATCATGGCTGTGCCCCAGTTGTCCACTAGAGGGCAATCCACCCCAGACTGTTTCTGCCTCACGAACTACATGTCCCATAATCCTTTGCCCAGTCTCATCAGCACTCATTGTTTACACCTGTGTCTCATTAGCCTTGTTAGCTCACCCTATAAAAGCCCGGTTCACTCTGTTATTCTTTGCTAAGTCTTGCATGTGTCTGTACTGCACTTCTAAGCCTTGTTTCCTGGTTCTCCTGTGTCTTGGTTCCCTGCCTGATTGTGGATTACCCCTTTAATAAATACTGTGTCTGGATCCTCAACCATTGTGTGTCTGTGCAGTTTCATGACACCACTTAATATTTTTTACTATTTAATATTAATACACATCACTGTTCAAAAGTTTGAGGTCAGTAAGACTTTTTTAAAGGAATTCTTTTTTTTTTATTCAGCAAAAATTTAGTTAAATTGATCAAAAATTAAAAGAAAAAAATTCTACCAAAAATGTATTTCAAATAAACGCTTTTCTTTTGAACTTTTTATTCAGCAAAGAATCCAAAAAGAAAATGTATCACAGTTTCCACAGAAAAATATTAAACGGCACTCAGTATTTAATAGAACTATTTTCAACACTGATAATAAAAATAAATGTTTCTGAAGCAAATCAGCATATTTGATTTGATTTCTGAAGGATCATAGGACACTGAAGACTGGAGTAATGACTGCTAAACATTTAGCTTTGCCCTCACAGGAATACATTTTAAAATGTATAAAAATAGAAAACAGTTATTTTCGAAAGTAAGCGTGGCTGGTGCATTGCTTCTGGAGTCACACTCCTGATAACGGACCCAGGTTTTATCCAAGTCCTCCATGAAGCCATTCTCATGGGAACTATTAGTTCAGAGATCCAACACATCAGTCAAACAATCCGTTATTCCAGAAATAGAAACAGTTGACAGATTGTGGTTAGCCTAGGGATTAGCTGAAAGGAACAGAAAAAAGAGAAAAACAAACAAAAGTATAGCTTGCATACTGTGGAGGGTTAGTCTTGATTGAGATTACCTGAGGATGGCCAGTGAGACATTTTGCTTCCATGGGCTGTCTTTACGCATCCCGATACCGAATCCAGAGCGGAAAAACAGCTCGCCTGTGGTGACCAGGTCACATTTCTGCGAGGCCTCAAACTCCAACACTGCTGAATCCCATATAAACGCGTGGAGTTTGCTATGGGTAGAAAAAAAATTAATATCTTCAATATGTCTTGATAAAATAAACTTTGCATTTTTGCAATTTAAAATTATTTTTCTTTACAATACCATTCATATTTTTTTATGATTTTTAAATGTCTATTATGCTCGTCAAGGCTGCATCATTTGATACAGTAAAAACAGTAACACTATGAAATATTACAATTTCAAATAACTCTAAATTTGAATTTTCAGCAGCCATTACTTTATTTGATCCACAAAAAACATTTCTTATTATTATCAATGCTGAACAGTTGTGTTGCTTAATATTTTTGTTAAAACCACAATACATTCCTCAGCATTCATTAATGAATAAAAAGTTCAAAAGTTCATTTGAAATATATTTTTTTTGTAACAATGTAAAGTTCTTTGCTGTCACTTTTGATCAATTCATTAAACAGAAATTTTAAAATGTCTTATTTTAGTATTTTATATTTCTAGTCCTTCTTTTGCTTTAATGACAGCAGCACACAAGCTGCATTAACTTTACAAGTTCGTGTGAAACCTGATGATTCATGAGATCCAGCATGATTTGAGAATGATCCAAAGAACATCTTGTGCTTCAGTGGAAGCAAGCTCTGTCTGTACAAAGAGTCACAAGATAAATGACACAAATTGACTTATTTGATTAGTCACCTAGAAATAATTCAGAAACTCCAGATATTAAAAATCAGTAGGGAAAATGTATTAAACACACTGGCAGTCTGCCATCTGTTCCCATCTTAGCCTTGTAGTGAAGGTCCTTCTTTAAAATACAGCTCCCTACCCTGCTTTGTATTCAGCATCAATAGTGTACTGAATCACTCTAACAGGGGTTTAGCCTCTCTCTGCTCTTCGCACACTCACTGAGGGGAACGGAGCATGTGTCACCCTTTATACTGACTGGTAATTTAGCTTTCTGCTGCCCACTTCCTGGCATCGGTATTTATGCCCAGCCTCTAAAGGAAGTGTTTGAATATTATGCTTTTTAATATTTAATTCAACAGCTCCCAATAAACCTGTTCTGGCATAACACTAAAAATATTAGTGGAAACTCTGATTGTTGACTGACTTGTCTCGCACGGCCTGGATGGCTTCAGCAGCGCTCTCGTAGTTGTGCTTTTCCATGTGGCGGTACATGGTGCTTAGCTCAACTTGGCGCCGGAAGTAAATGTCCACAGAGCTCTGCTTCACTGTGGCGTAGATGAAACAGTCTGATGGGTTTCGCAGCTGGAATACAAGGTAACAGTGGGACGGTCTGGATGAACTGTGATAAGTGGGTGTTATGCAAGATAAATTTATTCAAAACATGCTGAATTATTAAAGTAAACTGGTGTTTGGTGTCTGCAAATCAAAAATATGGCCTTTTTTGTCTCTGCAATTACATGAAATATTTCTGAGAAGAAAATGGCTGTGGGAATAGAGGCAAACCAAGGTAATAAGCATGACCTAAAAATGTTCACTGAAGTCATATTTCTGTGCACCTACAACTGTAAGAATAACACAATTGTAAATGTATCAATAAATATCTCATTTTATATTAGAAAATATCATTAAATATATATATATTTTTCAAAATCTCTTTTTCAAATATTTACATTGAGTCCTTTGTAAATTTTCAGCCCATATGACAGAACTGACATAGGTTGTTATGACGAAACAAGGCAAATAAAAATAACCTTTGCGAACAAATGACCCGTAATTATGTATCTTCGCCGTGCTTAATTATATGTGGTGTTTTTATAGCGTGTGAAATGTGAAATCTCGGTGCATGGTCATTTAGAGTCTTATTTGATATTCTGTTGTATAACATGCTTCATATTTAGTGCTCACCCTAGGGTCGTTGATGCCGGTAATGCGCTCCTCAGGCCGATCCAGCACTAGGAAGGCTGCCAAATTGGCAGTATAAGATGCAACTATAATCATAGCAAAACCAGCCCACACCATACCTAAAATCCTTGCTGAAAAGCTCCGAGGGGCACCTGTGAATGTAAGTGGAGAGGTGAGAGCGCTAAAGAAAATGATGCTTACTGCAAAACCAATCAAACACAGAGTCAGCAATATTTCCACCTCACAGCACCAATAGACCGAATAATAATCTTACTGCTGATGTCTACCTTCTCCAATGCCGGAGTTCAGAAGTACACCCCAGGAGAACCACATAGCAGAGGATAAGGTGAGGGCATCTTCTTCTTCCTCTTCACTATTTACTTTAAACCTTCCAAACGGGCTGCACAGCAAAGCGCATATCAGTCAGAGACAGATGCTTTTAAACTGCATCCAGACAATGTTGTTAATCTTCAGCCAAACTTCTGAGATCTTCTGCAAACTTTATTAATATCAAGCTTCATTCTCACATCTGTGTGTTTAGTCATTCCTACATCTATCCATGGATGACTTCTAAAGAGATAGTTCACCCAAAAAGAAAATCCTGTCATCTTTATGTCATTTTCTTCATGATTTTCTTATATTTTAAAGAATGTTGACTCTTTATTGTATTATTTTATTGTACAGACTAAATATTTTCAAAATATCTTCTTTTGTGTTCCAAAGAACAAAACATCATACAGCTTTAGAATGACATGTGGGTGAGTAAATGATGACATAATTTACATTTTTTGGATAAACTATCCCATTAAGGTGTCAACAAATATTGTCCTTTACCTGAAACGGTCTAATAGGTAGAGCATCACCGCCACAACATGGACCGATAGACCCACCAGTAACCACAGAGTGCTCTGAAAAGGCTGCATGAACGAGTCCAGCGTACTGCGTGGTATTTCCTGCAAAATAACACCGCTTTATCCAATCCAACAAACACCACCCACATCGCCACATGCATCACCATATGGAGCATCAAATGGAGTCTACATCTACACTGGTCAGAGGTGTATTAATAGATTTCACTGTACTCCAGAGTCAATTGATTTATCACAGCGTTTTCTCAGTACAGAGATAAG